CGTGTGTGCGAGTGTGTGTATGTGTGTGTGCGTGTGTGCGTGTGTGTGTGTGTGTGTGTGTCTGTGCGTGACTGCGTGCTTGCGTGCGTGCGTGCGTGTGCGAGTGTCTTGGGCGTGCGTGCGTGTGCGTACATGTGCATGCGTGTGCGGGCGTACGCAAATCTAAGCGTGAGCGTGCGTGCACGTAAGTGCGCGTGCGTGCGTGTGCGTGCGCTTGCGTGCGCATAGGTGCGCGTGCGTGCGCATGCGTGCGCGCGCGTGCGTGCGCGTGCGTGCGCGTGCGTGCGCGTGCGTGTGTTGCGTGCGCGCTCGTGCGTGCGCGTGCGAGCGCGTGCGTGCGCGTGCGTGCGCGTGCGTGCGCTTGCGTGCTCGTGCGTGCGCGTGCGAGCGCGTGCGTGCGCGTGCGTGCGCGTGCGTGCGCGCGCGTGTGCGTGCGTGCGTGCGCGTGCGTGTGCGTGCGTGTGCGTGCGTGTGCGCGTGCGTGCGTGTGTGTGTGTGTGTTTGTGCGTGCGCGTGCGTGCGTGTGCGTGCGCATGCGTGCGTGTGCGTGCGTGTGCGCGTGCGTGTGCGCGTGCGTGTGCGCGTGTGTGTGTTGCGTGCGCGTGCGTCTGCGTGTGGGTGTGTGTGTGGATGTGGGTGCGGGTGTGCGGGTGTGCGGGCGTGGGTGTGGGTGTGGGTGTGGGTGTGGGTCAGGTTTAACATGGCGAGCGAATCAATCATGGCATGCCCATTCCCACCCGCCCTCCCACAACATAAGAAACAGTGTTGGCGCAACTGGGGGCTGCGCGGGCATCAGAGCGAGGCGAGGATGCCCCAGTAGTAGTAGTGGTAACAATAGTTGGGGTAGAATGTGTATTAGTAGTAGTAGTAGTTATAGTAGTAGTAGTAGTAGCAGTAGTAGTAGTAGTAGTAGTAGTAGTAATACTGATGGTCGTAGAAGTGGTAACAGTAGTCGTAGTAGTAGTTGAAGTGGACGTTGTGGTCGTAGTACTACTAAGACTAAACAGAATAACGCTGATAACACGAATTATAATACACATGACACGGATTATCCCAGTGCGACCCTACCTAGGAGTTGGAGCCATTAGGAAAGCAACATTAGGAGCGGTAAACGCTGTCCTCCTCCTCCTCCTCATCGTCGTAGTTGTAGCAGTAGCGGTAGTAGTAGTAGTAGTAGTAGTAGTAGTAGTAGTAGTAGTAGTATTGGTAGTAGTAGTAGTAGTAGTAGTAGTAGCAGTAGTAGTACTGGTAGTAGTAGTAGTAGTAGTAGTAGTAGCAGTAGTAGTAGTAGTCGTAGTCGTAGTAGTAGTGGTAGTAGTAGTAGTAGTAGTAGTAGTAGTGGTAATGGTAGTAGTAGTAGTAGTAGTAGTAGTAGTAGTAGTAGCAGTAATAGTAGTAGTCGTAGTAGTAGTAGTAGTAGTCGTCGTCGTCGTCGTCGTCGTCGTAGTAGTAGTAGTAGTATTAGTAGTAGCAGCGCGCAGACAGCAAGTCGCCGAGACAGTAGCAAAAGCAAACAGGCACGGAGATGAGGGCGGGGCATTGGGGAGTTCTTCACATCTACATATATATCTACACCTACATCTACATCGCCACCGCCCCGCGTCACGGAATTGAGGCTGAACGGCAACGAGGGTGAAAGGCATTACGACGCGGTGTTGAACAAATACATGCACACACACACGCACAAACACATGCAGCATTCCACATGGGTGTTATGTATATATACACATATATTTGCATATATAGAAATACATTTAGGACATGCGATAATACGTCGGGTTTCATGTCTCCTGGCCTGTGCTATGTGCGAAACCTTCGTGAGTCCTAAGGGCTCAAGCTGCCCCACTAAGGGCTCAAGATGGCCCACCGACAGACAACATGTATGGAACAGACGTGCGCACACACACACATATAAGTACATATATAAATATATAGAGCAGCAGCAATAGTAGATGCTGTGCTGCGCTATGCTATGCTCTGGTCTGCTGTGCTGTGCTGTGCTATGCTACGCTATGCTGCGCAATGCTATGCTGGGCTAGGCTAGGCTAGGCTAGGCTATCCTATGCGATACTATGCTGCGCTATGCTGCGCTCTGCTATGCTGCGCTATGCTATGCTATGCTATGCTATGCTATGCTATGCTTTTACTTTGCCTTCGCTTTTGCCTTCACTTTTGCCTTTGCTTTTGCTTTTACTGGCACCCAGGGAGCGCAACTGGGGGAACCGCGCGCTCGCTTTTACCTTTGCTGTTGCTTTTGCTCGGTTCCCAGGGGACTGGGGGAACCGCCCGGGGCGGTTTGCACTGCCCGGCCCCTTGAAGCCAAGCGAGTAAGAACCTTTCTAGGCAGAGCCTAGGCAGGAAATAATATAGCAAGTTAATGCGCTGGTGATATCCGCCACCGTGCTCGGGCACGGAGTTGGCGTGTCTTCAGGTCGTGTGCCTCATCCCCTGAGCCGCAGTCCTCATCCTGAGGGGTCTTTAATGGACCAGGACCCCAAATTCTCAAATCGACCGGGCTTGCCGCCGTAACCCGCGTCCCGGCGCGTCTTCCCGCGTAACTGTTTCGGACCCAAGAGGGCCCCAAAACTGGCCAAGAGGGCCCCAAAAGGCACCCAAGACGGGCCAAGAGGCCTCCGAGTCGCCCAAACATTGGCCCAAGACGCCCAAGATCGCCCCAAAGGGGCCCAAGAAGCCTCCAAGACGGCCCAAGAGGCGTCCAAGAGCACTCCTGAGAGGGGCCCAAAAGGCAAACATCGTCGAATTCCAGTCCCCCAAGATCGCCCCAAGACGGCCCAAGAAGCTCCCAAGAGGCGCTCAAGACGGCCCAGGAGGGCGCCAAGAGGGCCCAAGAGGCCCCCAAGACGGCCCAAGAGGGCCCGAAGACGGCTCCAAGAGGGGCCCAAGAGGGGGAGCCTGAACCGACAATCCGAGCCTTCCGCCCCAAGACGGCGCCAGGAGGCCCCAAGAGGCGCCCAAGAGGCCCCCAAAGGCCCCCAAGAGACCCCCAAGGCCCCAAGATGCCCAAAGAGGCCCCAAGTACCTCTTGAGGCATGTAGCTTCGAACCCGCAACCCCAGGCACCAAGGATCTCAGGCCACGAGACCACGAGACCCCATTCCTGCCACGCATCTCGCCTCGTCGACGACAAGACAGGCCATGTTGAGAGGACGCACCGCGTCCCATTCCTGCCACACAGTTTGCATCGTCGACGACAAGACAGGCCATGTTGAGAGAAACGAACGGTCGATGTATGTTGATGTGGACAGTCAGGATGGGACCACCCGGATTGACGCCCGCGCGCGATGTGCGCCGCTCCCGATTCCTGCCACATTTCGCATCGTCGGCGACAAGACAGGCCATGTGGAGACGAAGAACGGAAACGTTGGATTGATTGTTTACAGTCAGGATGGGACCACCCGGATTGACGGCCGCGCGCGATGTGCGCCGCGTCTTATTCTTGCCGCGCATTTCACATCGTCGACGACAAGAAGGCCACGTTGACAGAAAAAACGGAGACTTTGAATTGAGTTTGTATTGTCAAAATGGGAGGGCCTGGATTGACGGCCGCGCGCGATGTGCGCCGCGTCCCATTCCTGCCACGCATTTCGCTTCGTCGACGACAGAACGAGGCGTGTGGAGAGGAAAGAACGGGCACGTTATATTGATTTATTTCAATCAGGATGGGAGGGCCAGGATTGGCGTCCGCGCGCGATGCGCGCCGCGTCCCACTCCTGCCACGCATTTCGCAACGCCGACGACAAAGCAGGCCACGTGGAGAAAAAAAACGGCGACTTTGTATTGATTTTTTGCAGTCCAGATGGGAGGGCCCAGATTGACGACCGCGCGCGATGCGCGCCGCGTCCCATTCCTGCCACGCTTTTCGCATCGTCGACGACAAGAAAGGCCACGTTGAGAAGAACAACGGCCACTTTGTATTGATTTTTTAGAGTCCGGATGGGACCACCCGGATGTGGCCGCTATCGGCCGGAATACGACGTAGGTAGGGGTATTTTCTAATGACAAATATAGATGTGGGTGCTGGTGGGTATGTAAGTGCGTTTGTGTTGTGTGTTGTGTTGTGCGGTGTGTGATGTGTTTGTGGTTTGCTTTGTGTATTGTGTGTTGTGTGATGCGTGTTGTGTGTTGTATGGTGTGTGTTGTGTATTGTGTGCTGTGTGTTGTGTGTTGTGTGTGTATTGTGCGTTGCTTGTTGTGTGTTGGGTGGTGTGTGGTGCGTGCTGCGTTCTGTGTGTGCTGTGTGTTGTGTGCTGTGTGCTGTGTGCCGTGTGGTGTGTGTTGTGTGGGGTGTGGTGTGCGTTGTGTGTTGTGTGTTGTGTGTTGTGTGTTGTGTGTTGTGTGTTGTGTGTTGTGTGTTGTGTGTTGTTGTTTGTTGTTGTTGTTGTTGTTGGTGTTGTTGTTGTTGTTGTTGGTGTTGTTGTTGTTGTTAATGATGTTGTTGTTTGTTGTGTGGTGTGTGTTTTGTATGTTGTGTGGCGCGTTGTTTGTTGTGTGGTGTGTGGTGTGTGTTGTGTGTTGTGTGTTGCGCGTTGTGTGTTGTGTGCTGTGTGTTGTGTGTTGTGTGGTGTGCGTTGTGTGGGGTGTGTTGTGGGTTGTGGGCTGTGGGTTGCGTATTCTGTCTTGCGTCTTGCGTTTTTGTGTTGTGTGTGTTGTGTGGTGGGTGGTGTGGGTTGTTTGTTGTGTGTTGTGTGTTGTTTTGTGTGTTAAGCGTTGTGTGTTGTGTGTTGTGTGGTGTGTGTGTGCTGTGTGTTGTGTGTTGTGTGTTGTGTGCGGTGTGGTGTGTGCTGTGTGGTGTGTGCTGTGTGTGGTGTGTGGTGTATGGTGTGTGGTGTGCGTTGTGTGTTGTGTGTTGTGTGTTGTGTGTTGTGAGTTGTGCGTTGTGTGGTTTGTGTTTTATGTTGTGTGTGCGTGTGCGTGTGCGTGTACGTGTGCGTGTACGTGTGCGCGTGCGTGTGTATCCCTGGGCTCCTTTTTTTACGTAAGGTGACAAGCACGCGTTGCTCCAGGGCCTCGGTTGGGACGGCGACCTGCGCAAGTGGTTTTACGTCGGGAACACCGCCGCGGTCCCCGCCCTGGGCATCCCCAGCCTCAACATGCAGGACGCCGCCTCTGGCTTTCGCACGTACTGGTCGGAGCTGGTGGGCACCGTAACGTGCTGGCCCTCGCTGCTTGCCATGGCCGCGACCTGGGATCCGAACGCGGTTGAGAGTTATGCGCGGGCGGTGGGCAAGGAGTTCAAGGGCAAGGGCGCCAACGGCATCCTGGGCCCTTCTGTAAACGTTCACCGGGTGGCCCGCAACGGGCGCAACTTCGAGTACCTCTCAGGCGAAGACCCCTACCTCGGGTCGGTGCTGGCCCCGGCATACGTGCGCGGGGTGCAGTCTCAGGGGGTCCTCGCCGTGTTGAAGCACTGGGTCTTCAACGAGCAAGAGACCAACCGGAACTCGGAGAACTCCATCGTGGACGACAAGACGGCGTGGGAGCTTCAAAGAGGCAAAAATGGCATAAACATAAACTTTTTGAGTTCCGCGCGGGTTTCTCGGATTGGCGCTGGAACCCCCTCCCCGGCGCGCGGAGCGCACCATGGGCGCGGCGCCAGAAGCGCCGCTAGGAGGGCGCGGCAACGATCCAAGAGATCCGCGCGGAGCGCCGACAGGTTATCTTTAGGCAGTTTCTGTGTGCTCCTCCAGGAGCTGTACTACCCGCCCTTCCAGGCCGCCGTCGACGCGGGCGTGGCGGCCGCCATGTGCTCCTACAACCGGGTCGGGGGGCAGTACTCGTGCCAGAACGAGGAGACCTTGCAGAGGGTCCTGAAGGACCAGATGGGCTTCAAGGGGCTCTCGAGGGCAGAGATACAGGGGGGACAGGTCGGCCACGCGCAGAGGGGGGTAAGTCGGACACGTCCCTCTACAGAAGGAAAATTCAAAAACAGTTAAAAAGTAGTATGGGGACTATGTTTTGACTATTGTTGAACATTTCGGGGGCATTTTGGGACAACTTTTAATTTTTCACCCAAAATCCGCCTGAAGGAGGACATGCCCGACCTAAGGGTAGGGATGAGGTCCTCTGGGGCCCCTCTTGTCGCCGCCCTGGGGACTTCCTGGCTTGGGCCCTCTTGGGGTCCCGGGGGCCGTCTTGCGAAAATATTTCAGCCGCGCGCAGAGGGGGGGGGGTACGGGGAGAGGGGGCAGGGCTTCTTAGAAGCACCCCTGCTGCTTAGAAGGAGCGGACACTGTCTGTAGATGTAGGGCCAGCGCCTGCTAAGAAGCAGCCTCCTTCTCGGAAGCCTTTGCCCCTCACCTTGCCCCCGTGTGCGCGCCGCCAAATGTGTCCAGTGGGGGATCCATCAACCCCGAATCGCACATTGATCGCCGATGGGGGCACGAGTTAGCCCCACCCCGCCCAGGAACGTTCGGATTCGCCATCGGGGGTCTATCGCCGATCTATCAGCGATGTATCGCCGATTCCAGGTTGACGCTTCCCACCCTGGTCTGGTCCCCTCCCTGTCGTTGCCTCTGAGGTTCGTCCAGACGGACTGGTGGGCGGCCAAGGCGATGGGTATGCCCGCGGGCCTCGACCAGGAGATGCCCGGCAGCAACGACGTCTTCTTCAATGAGGGCGACCTCGCGGGTCAGGATCCTCAGCGAGTCGACGATGCTGTGCACAGAGTGCTGTCCGCGATCTACCGGTTGAAGTTGGAAACGAGCACGCCGTGCAGCCCACCGGATTGCGAGGAGTGGTTCAGGAAGAACGTCACCAGCGAAGCCCATGCCTCACTCGCGCGGTCGTTGGCCACGGAGTCCATAGTCTTGCTCAAGAACGACAAGGACGTGCTGCCCATCTCAACCTCGCGCGTGGGCAAGATCGCCGTGCTCGGTGCCGCGTCGGCGGCGAACGCGTACGATCCCAGCGGCGGCGGCCAGAACGGGGGCGGCGACTGGGCGACTGGCGACTACTACTCCGGAGGCGGCAGCGGCCACATGGTGGCCGGGCGCTTGATCACGCCGCTGCAGGGCATCTCGAGCCGCGCCGCTTCCGCGGGCATCGAGGTGGCGTCGGCGCCGACCGATGACGTCGAGGCTGGGCTCCAGGCGGCGGACGGAGCGGACCTCATCATCGTCGTGGCGGCCACCACCAGCGGAGAGTCGAGGGACCGCGACAGCCTCGCCCTCGATGGCGGCGTGGGAGACCTCATAGGCGCGGTGTCGGATCGGAGCGGGAAGCCCGTGGTGGTGCTGGTGCAGTCCCCCGGCGCCTTCGTGGCCCCGTGGGTGGACTCGGCGGATGGCGTCCTGGTCATGTTCTTGGGGGGGCAGGAGATCGGAGGAGGACAAGAGGCCCATCCCGCGACCCGTCGCCCGCTTTCTCCTTTTTGGGGCCTCCCGGGAGTCCTTCGTCGCCACCGCTGGATTCGTCTCGGAATCCTGGTCAGAACTCACCCCGGGAAAGGTCGCGGGAGTAGCGGTACCGATATTTTCCTGCTTCCCCAGGAGACGGGCGCCGCCTGGGCCAGCATCCTCTTCGGTGATCAGTCCCCCACCGGAAGATTGCCGTTGATGCTCCCGGCCACGGAGGACGACCAGATCCCGCCTGGCACGGGGGACGACGTGGAATACAGCGAGGGCACGAAGACCAGCTACCGCAACCACGACTTCAAGGCGGCCTTCCCCTTTGGCCATGGCCTGACGTTCACCACCTTCGAGTACACGCACGCTGTGGCAGTGCCATGTGGCGGCCAGACGGCGGCCGCGGTGGTGCGCGGGCCGGCTTCCGAGGAGCCTGCGGGGCAGGCCGTCGCCTGCGTCCAGGTCCGGGTGCGGAACGCGGGGAAGTCCTCTGGGCAGGAAGTGGTGCAGCTGTACCTGGAGTTCCCCGCGGAGGCTGGGCGCCCAGGACCCCTGCTGAAGGGCTTCCAGAAGACTGGCGTCATGGCCCCAGGCGACGAGGTAGAGGTCGTCCTGCCCCTGACTCGGCGGGACCTCTCGTACTACGACGCCGAAGCCAAAAGCTGGAAGGAGGCCGCATCCTTGACGGCGCACGTCGGCGCGTCCTCCGCCGACTTGCGCGCGTCGCCGGTGCAGCTGACGCGCGACGAGGATCAGGTGGGGAAAAATCACAGACGCAAACAAACGTCAATCCCCTGGGAAATTCGGAAAATATCGGGATAATCCTGGGACTGTGTCCACCTACTTGTGTCGCCCTTGGCCCCTTTAGAGGACTCGGGTGAGTGGCCAGCACCAGAGCCAGCGCCGACCGCGCCGGCGCCAGCGCCAGCAGCTGCGCTGCTGCCAGCGGCAGCGCCTGCGCCGCGGCCAGCGGAGGCTTGGCCCGTCGCCTCCGAGGACTCCGTCGCGCACGTGGCCAGGGGGGCCTGGGACTGCGAGGTGGGGCTGTGGCACTGGAGGGAGGCTCGGCGGCGGCAAAGGGTGTGGTTACGCCGGGGCGTGGTTTATGATCGGCACCGTTGGGGCCTGGGGAGCACGACACTGTCCTCGTCGGGCCTCCTCGGGGCGCGGCGGAGAGCTCTGTCGAGGTCCTCGCCCGCCCCCCAGGGTGCCACTTGCAAACCACAGCTGGACCTTCCGCAAACCACACCCTTCGGAGTCGCCGAAAGGCCTGGTCGGCGCCCAAGCGCGCGTGGTGCTGCGAGCACGAGCAGAAGGGCTGCGACGGCCAGCCGGACGATGAGGGCGACGACGCGCTGCACGACGCGCTCGCAGAGCTGTCGGGGGCCGCGGCTGGTCTGGCGGCGGACCCGCAGGCCGAGGCTGGGGAAACCAGAAGATACCCATACCGCTACCCCCCAGACCTCTCCCTGGGTGCGTTTTGACCAGGCTTTCGAGGCGAATCCGCCGGTGACGACGAGGGCCGCCCAGGAGGCCCAAAAAGGGAAAACGAGGCAAGGGTAGAGGCGGAGGAGGAGGAGGAGGAGGAGGAGGAGGAGGAGGAGGTGGAGGCGGAGGAGGAGGAGGAGGAGGAGGAGGATCAGGAGGAGCAGGAGGAGCAGGAGGAGGAGGGGAGGGGGAGAGAGAGAGAGAGAGAGGATGGGGAAAAGCAAGGCAGGGGGAGAACGAGGCCAAAAGAGCACTTCTTCCTTCGAGAGGCGCCCGTGGGGCTGCGCGGCGCCGGGTCCGCTGGCGGAGCCGCCGGGGGCGGGGCCTGGGCGTCCCCGCTAGCGGCGCAGAGGCTGGACGAGGTCCCGGCGGTGCCCGCCGCGCGCCCCCTGGCGGCGCCGGCGCCGCGTTGGATCCAGGCTCGGCTGCGTTCGGGGGCGTCTTCGCCGTCGCCGTCGTCGTCATCGTAGCCGTCGCCGTCGTCGTCGCCGTCTCCGTCGCCGTCGCCGTCGCCGTCGCCGTCGCCACCTGGGGGGGAGATACCATCTTGGCAGAGGCCAGGATATCTCCCCAGCTTAGCTGCCTCGACATACGCCCGTCTTGGCACGCAGCACGTGCCGTGCTCAAAACGTGTGTCAATGTGCGTTGCATTGCTCAACGTATTGGCCCACGCTTTTGCGAACGTAATTATCGCGTCAGAACTACGCTTTCAGTGTACGTGTTGAGCTCCGAGTCAGCACGCTGCGTGCTGCGTGCTGCGTCTCGGGGCAGCTGAGCTTCCCAGATGTCAGCAGGGCCCCCCGTTGTTTCAGCACGTTCCCTAGCCCCCTCCCTCCTGGTCCGCGCACACGCCTCGGGCCATGATTTGCGAAGCTCCCCCTCTTGGACGCTCCCCCCCCCCCTGGACGCCCCCGACGCGCGCGAGGCGGCCCTTCGCCGCAGTGACGCTCGGTGCGGGCCCACCGAGGGCCCCTCCCAACACCGGCCGGCGCGCTCTCGGACTTGGCCTCCCCCCCCTTGGGGCTCCCGAGAGCCACGCACCAGACAGAGGAGGCCGCTCTTGCCCGAGAGTCGCTCCTTCCCTGAGCTTCCAGAGCGCTCAGAAAGTAGCACCCCAGAGCTACAGATCGATCTGGACTGCCTCAGGCCTCGACAGGAATGAAGACGGCGACGTCCTGGTGCTATTTTGTTGGCCCTCCTGGAGGGTCAGGGTTCGTGCAGTCGACCAGGCGCTGGTGGCGCTGCAGCTCTGCGCCTCCGCTGCCTTCGCGGTCCTCTGCGGCCTCCGCCGGCGGCAGCGCCACGGCACCGTGAGGTCGGAGGGCGCGTCCAGCGCGGACGCCGGCGGCGTGGTGGTGCGGCGCGGCGCGGCCGAGCCGCTGCGGCCGCGCAGCCCGCCCATGGCGAGCGGCAACCTGTCTCCGGGCGTGGCCTCACCGCTGCAGACCGAGGCTCAGAGGAGGGAAAGGTGTACACCCAGACCCCCTCGAGTGACGAAAAATGCATGACGGGAGGTTTTTTTTGCTATGTTCGGCCTCTGGGGCCCTTGATGGCCCTCGGGACCGTCAAAAAACGGCTCAGGATGAAAAGCCGGTCCGGGGGAATGGGTCGAGACCTCCAGGGGTCGACGCCATGAAAAAATCGCGACGTCGGGGTTCTGGGCACCGACGCCACCACGCTTCCGTCGTGTTCGCCTTGCTGGGCCTCCCATGGAGGTCCTCGTCGTCGCCACGGCCGGAGTCGCCTCGAAAGCTGGTCAGAACCCACCCCAGGAGAGGTCCTGACCTTCCAGAGCGCCCAAAAATAGCACTCCAGACCTGAAGATCTACCCGTGCTGCCTCAAACCTGGACAGGAATCAGAACGTCGACGTCCCGGTGCTATTTTCAGGCCCTCCTGGAAGGTCAGGGTTTCTGTCCCCTCCGATGAGGCGTGACGGCCGCGCGCGTGCGCGAGCGTGCGGTCGCGGTCGCGGGCCTGCCCGCGCTCGGGAGGGGCCCGTGCCTTGCGCGCGCGCGCGCAGAGGCGAGGAGCCCCGCTGGGCGGCCACATCCAATCGGATATCGCGAAGGCCTTCTGGCCGGCGCCGCCGACCCTGACGGCGGACGACGACGACAGCGGCGGCGGCGGCGGCGACGATGCTGACGTGGGCCAGAGGGGTGCTTCTTGGGGTCTCTTCGGAGGGCTCCTGGGGGCCTCTGGGGAGGAATCCTGGAGCCTCTGGGGAGCTCTTGTGGGCCCCTGGGGGCATCTTGGGAACCTCGTGGGGCCTCCTGGGAGCCTCGGGGCCGAAGGCTCGAAATGTCCGCTGGGGTTCCCCATCTGGGCACGCTCCTGGAGCCGTCTTGGAGGCCTCTTGGGCCGTCTTGGAGGCGTTGTGGGCTCTTTGGGGCCTATTGGGCTGTGCAGGGCCCTCTTGGAGCCTCTTGGGCCGTCTTGGGGCGATCTTGGGGGCATCTCGGGCAGTCTGGGACAGGCGGGCGGAAAGGGAGAGAACGCCAAAATCTTGGAAAAACCAAAGGGAAATCAATGGATTGTGCCTAGGAGGGCCATTCTCGGGAGTGGTCTTGGAGGCTTCTTGGGACGTCGTGGCGGCCTCCTGGGCAGTCTGGAGGGCGCGAAGGCGTTTTGGACCGATAATTTGGCGATTGGGAGCCCTCTCGGACCGTCTCGGGGGCCTCTCAGGGGCATGCTTGGCCTGTCTTTGGGGGGTCTTGGTGCTTTCGGAGGCCCCTGGACCCCCAGGGGGTGATGCGTATTTGACCTCCCCTGGGGACCCTGCCCCCGGACCCCCCCACCCTTACCCCCGCAGGACCCGCACCCCCACCGGGGGAGGGTTCGAATGGAAGGGGCTTCCCTTCGATTAAATTACGACATTGCTAGTTTTTTTGTTCGCTGACAGGTTTGAGGAGGAGGGTGCAGAGGGGACGACGGAGACGACGACTGACAGAGATGACGACTCGAACAGACAAGCCCCTCACACACGCCGAAGGACTCGGCGGATTTAGAGATCACTGTGGTGTCGGATGGGGGCACTACACCCAGAGGCCCGTTCCTATTTGACGCGTACGGTAAGATCGTGTCGCGCCAACGCGGCAGCGACCTCGCCGCTGGCGTTCAAAGCAATGGCCCAGAGTCGGCCAATATCGAAAGGTCTGGCGATCGAAAAGCCGCCGATCGTTCAAGGTCGAACGATCCACGCGGTGTCAGAGGCCAACGCTGGAGTCATGACGACGCCAACCTGCAGTAGTTACCGGGCGTCGCAAGTTGGGCGTACTTGCCAGAAGTGGGGCACCAGCAGGGCGCAGTTGCCATCACCAGGTCACGAGTGCCTCAAGCCGGACATTCGTAAGGCGCGTGACGTACAAGCGGGCCTCTGAGCATCGAGGATGGGGGGACGGGGATTTTACGCATCCGAGCGTCCGCCTGGCCACGCTGGCACGACCTCTCTTTTTGGCCACTCGCGGCGGACCCAAGTGTATTTAATTCAGCGGCTTTGGAATTCAGCTAGTTTGCTAGGCGATGGGATGGGGACGTTCAGCACTCAGGCGTCCGCCCAGCCACGCTAGCACGACCTCGTTTTGTTTGCCGCTCGCGGCGGATCCTGACGAGTTTAATTCGGTGACTTTGGAAATTTGCTGGATGATGCTGACGAGGAGGAGGAGGAGGAGGAGGAGGAGGAGGATGGTATGGGGACGTTCGGCACCCAAGCGTCCGCCCGGCCACGCTAGCACGACCCTGTGTCTTGGCCTCTTGCAGCGGATTCCAGCAAGTGCAAGTTTGCTACTCCTCTTTCCTCCCCCCCCATCCACCCTCTCTACGCTCCCGCACCCTCCTGAACCTCCGTCTCCCTCGGCTGCCACTTGTCTTGCGCCTCTTGCGCCCTGCTTCGCCGCCTGCAGCGCAACCACACATGCCAGCTTGACCACCGCTGCGTGCTTACACCCGCAGTCAGGTGAAACACGCTCCTGGCGTGCAGCGCCGTCCTGTGGCCGCGTCACTTCACTCTGAGTAGCGCTGATGTGCACCTCGACTGACTCCCATAGGTCACCGCGCGCAGCATTTGGCGCACAGTATTATTGACGTTTGCGCTCCGAAAACCCTTTCAGCACTCGTCCCATCCCCATCCTCATCTCCCATTGTCCACCCCCCTCGTCACCCTCGTCCTCCCCTTCTTCACATTCTTGCCGGAGGGAGGGGGATGAGGTGGAGGAGGGGTGGACGAGGACGAGGAGGAGGAGGAGGAGGGAGGAAAAGGAGGGAGAAGGAAGAGGAGGAGGAGGCGGATGAGAAGGAGGAGGATGAGGAGGAGGAGGAGGAAGACAGGTAGGAGGCCAATGAACAGTACTACCACGGGCTACCATTAAGTCGGGCGTGTCCCTCTACAGGAGGAACATTCATCTATATACACATATAACGGCGCACCGGGTCCGGGGGCCCGGGGCCGGGACCTCGACCACAAATGTGCGCCCCGGGGGGCCCGGAGGCTCGTCGGGGCTTGCCGGAGGCCTCCCCAGTCAGACAAGACGGCCCAAGAAGCGCCCAAGACGGCCCAAGAAACTTCCAAGAGGCCTCCAAGAGGGCTCCGAGATGCTGAAGATGGCCTCCAGACGTCCAAGGACGCCCCCAAGAGGCCCCAAGAAGCCTCCAACATGCGTCCCAAGAGGGCCCCTAGACGCAAAAATTGGCCCATTCCCTTCGTAAAACGTACATTTTCAACAAAGTTGTCTTTTGGGCTTTCCGACGTTACAGGACGGCCCAAGAGGCGCCCAAGACCGCCCCAAGACGGCCCAAGAAGCTTCCAAGAGGGCCCCAGGACAGCCCAAGAGGGCCCCAAGACGGCCCAAGAGGCGCCCAAGATGGCCCAAGAGGGCCCCAAGACGGGCCCAAGAGGGGGCCCAGAGGGGGACCACGAACCGCAAGCTCGAGCCTTCCGCCCCAAGAGGCCGCCAGGAGGCCCCCAGGAGGCCCCTCAAGAGGCCCCAGGAGACCCCAGACGTCCAAGGACGCCCCCAAGAGGCTCCAAGAAGCCTCCAACATGCGTCCCAAGAGGGCCCCTAGACGCAAGAATTGGCCCATTCCCTTCGTAAAACGTACATTTTTAACAAAGTCGCCTTTTGGGCTTTCCGACGTTACAGGACGGCCCAAGAGGCGCCCAAGACCGCCCCAAGACGGCCCAAGAAGTTTCCCAGAGGGCCCCAGGACAGCCCAAGAGGGCCCCAAGACGGCCCAAGAGGCGCCCAAGATGGCCCAAGAGGGCCCCAAGACGGGCCCAAGAGGGGGCCCAGAGGGGGACCACGAACCGCAAGCTCGAGCCTTCCGCCCCAAGAGGCCGCCAGGAGGCCCCCAGGAGGCCCCTCAAGAGGCCCCAGGAGACCCCAGACGTCCAAGGACGCCCCCAAGAGGCCCCAAGAAGCCTCCAACATGCGTCCCAAGAGGGCCCCTAGACGCAAAAATTGGCCCATTCCCTTCGTAAAACGTACATGTTCAACAAAGTTGTCTTTTGGGTTTTCCGACGTTACAGGACGGCCCAAGAGGCGCCCAAGACCGCCCCAAGACGGCCCAAGAAGCTTCCAAGAGGGCCCCAGGACAGCCCAAGAGGGCCCCAAGACGGCCCAAGAGGCGCCCAAGATGGCCCAAGAGGGCCCCAAGACGGGCCCAAGAGGGGGCCCAGAGGGGGACCACGAACCGCAAGCTCGAGCCTTCCGCCCCAAGAGGCCGCCAGGAGGCCCCCAGGAGGCCCCTCAAGAGGCCCCAGGAGACCCCAGACGTCCAAGGACGCCCCCAAGACGCTTCGCGTCACCAATTTCTTCTCGCAACGATTCCTGGGTCTGTGACTCGACAGAACCTAAGCGCGCGCGAAGCGCGCGCGTGGTTCTATACATATATATATATACACACAAGACTGCAGTGGCGCTTCGCGCCATGCACCTTGGTCCTTGAAGTTTGGTACGCAGGCGGAATAGCAGGAAGGTCAAGCCGACAAGTTAGCGATAACTCCTGGTTGCCTTTTCTGTTATCGCCGCTATAATAATGTTATTCGTTATCCTTCCTCCATGTTTCGTTTTCCTTATTTCTGCCATGCCCTGCGCATTCTCCCATTCCTCCTCAGCTCTTTTTCGCGGAGGCTCCTCCTTGGAGAGCCTCTAGGGGCCTCACAAAAGTTGTTTCAGGCTTTCTTACGGCCTTCTGGAGACCTCCTGGGCGTATTCTGGGGGCCTCCGGGGGCTTCCTCGGGCCACCCTGCCTCCAACCGCGGTCTCCCTGAACGACCGAATCACGATTTGGAATTCTTCGGAGGGTGTCTTTGGGCCATCTTGGGCCGCCATGGGGCTCTCTGAGGGCCATCTTGGACCCGTGTTGTGCCGTTTTGGGGCTCTCTTGGACTGCCTGGAAACCCTTTCGGATGGTTGTGGGGCGATTGTGGAGCCTCCCAGGCGGCTTCGGACGCCCAGAAGACCGCCGTCTTGGAGCGTCGGGAAGCCGAAAAGAGGAGAACCCTAAAATTCACCAAAAACCAATAGAAAATCAATGATTTTTGCCTCGGGGGGCCTTCTTGGGAGTGCTCTTGGAGGCCTCTTTGGTGGGACGTCTCCGATGACCCCCCTGATCGCCCCAGGTGTTCTGGGAAGGCTTGGCAAAACGCCATGCGAGGCCCGGGGGCCGCTTCGAGGCCCGTCTGGAGGGTCCCAAAGCCCCAGATCCCGCGAGTCCGGTTTTTCCCTACCTAGGCTCTGCCTAGAAGAGTTCTTACTCTCTTAGCTTAAAGGGGCCGGGCAGTGCAACACGCCCCGGGCGGTTCCCCCAGTCCCCTAGGAGCGGTTCCCCCCAGTCCCCTGGGAGCTTTAGCTTTAGCTTTAGCTTTAGCTTAGCTTTAGCTTAGCTGTAGCTTAGCTTTAGCTTAGCGTTTCGCTTAGCGTTTAGCTTAGCTGTAGCTTAGCTTTAGCTTAGCGTTTCGCTTAGCTTTTCGCTTAGCGTTTAGCTTAGATGTAGCTTAGTTGTAGCTTAGCTTTAGCTTAGCTGTAGCTTAGTGTTAGCTTAGCTTTAGCTTATACTCAGCTTAGCTTTAGCTTAGCTTTAGCTTAGCTTTAGCTTAGCTTTAGCTTATATTCAGCTTAGCTGTAGCTTAGCTTGAGCTTAGTTTTAGCTTAGCTTTAGCTTATATTCAGCTTAGATTTAGCTTAGCTTTAGCTTAGCTTTAGCTTAGCTTTAGCTTAGCTTTAGCTTATATTCAGCTTAGTTGTAGCTTAGCTTTAGCTTAGCTGTTGCTCAGCTTTAGCTTAGATTTAGCTTAGCTTTAGCTTAGCTTTAGCGTAGCTTTAGCTTAGCTTTAGCTTAGCTGTAGCTTAGCTTTAGCTTAGCTTTAGCTTAGCTTTAGCTTAGCGTTACTGTTACTACTAATGCTGCTTTCCTAGGGGTTCCAACTCCTAGGTAGGGTCGCACTGGGATATTTTTGTTTGGGGGGGGTGATGGGTTTCCCCCCCGCCCGGGCTTATAAAAATTATCCCAGAGCGACCGTACCTAGGAGTTGGAGTCCCTAGGAGAGCAATATTAGTAGTAACGGTAAACGCCGTCCTCCTTCTTCTCCTCATCGTCGCAATTGTAGCAGTAGAGGTAGTAGCAGTGTTATGCTATGCTATGCTATGCTGCGCTATGCTATGTTATGCTATGCTATGCTGGGCTATGCTATGCTATGCTAGGCTATGATATGACATTATATGCCGCGCTATGCTATGCTATGCTATGATATGTTGCGCTATGCTGTGATGTGCTGTGCTGTGCTATGCAATGCAATGCTGCGCTGTGCTATGCTAAGCAATGCTATGCTATGCTATGCGATGCACTGCTATGATATGCTATGCGATGCTATGCAGAGCTATGCTGTGTTGTGCTATGCCATGCTATGCTTGGCTACGCTATGCTATGCCATGCTGTGCTCATGCTGCGCTGCGCTATGCTGCGCTAAGCTAAGCTAAGCTAAGCTAAGCTAAACGAAGCTAAGGTATGTTAAGCTAAACTAAGCTAAGCTAAGCTAAGGTAAGCTAGGCGAAGCTAAGCTAAGCTAAGCTAAACTAAGCTAAACTAAGCTAAGCCATGCTAACCTTAGCTGAGCTAAGCTCAGCTAAGCTAGGCTAAGATGAGCTAGGCTGAGCTAAGCTAAGCTAGGCTAGGCAAAGCTAAGCTAAGCTAAGCTAAGATGAGATAAGCTAAGCTAAGCTAAGCTAAGCCAAGCCAAGCTAAGCTAAGCTAAGCTAAGCTGGGTGAACCCAGGGGGCGCGACTGGGGGAACCGCGGGACGGGGACTGGGGGAACCGCCCGGGGCGAGTTCCACTGCCCGGCCCCTTTAAGCTAAGAGAGTAAGAACCCTCTAGGCAGAGCCTAGGTAGGGAATATAGGAAGAGGGATAAACAAAATTATCCCAGTGCGACCCTACCTAGGAGTTGGAACCCCTAGGAAAGCAGCATTAGTAGTAACAGTAACGCTAAGCTAAAGCTAAGCTAAAGCTAAGCTAAAGTTAAGCCACAGCTAAGCTAAAGTTAAGCTAAAGCTAAGCTAAGCTAAGCTAAAGCTAAGCTAAAGCTGAAACAGCTAAGCTAAAGCTAAGCTAAAGCTAAGCTAAAGCTAAGCTAAAGCTAAGCTGAATATAAGCTAAAGCTAAGCTAAAGCTAAGCTACAGCTAAGCTCAAGCTAAGCTAAAAGCTAAGCTAAGCTAAGCTAAAGCTAAGCTAAACGCTAAGCGAAAAGCTAAGCGAAACGCTAAGCTAAAGCTAAGCTACAGCTAAGCTAAAGCTAAAGCTAAAGCTCCCAGGGGACGGGGGAACCGCTCGGGGCGCTTTACACAGCCCGGCCCGTTTAAGCTAAGAGAGTAAGAACCCTTCTAGGCAGAGCCTAGGTAGGGAAACAAAGAGAAAACAACAAAACTTGGGGACGATTTGTTGACTTTGTGCAATTTTGTTTTCGCATGTTTTGGGTATTTTGTATTGTTCCCCCAAAACCTGCCCGACCTATGCTACCGTCTGCCCAGCCCGTGTCCAACCTTCCTGTCGCATCCTCGCAGCTTCGTCTCTTGCCCAGCGGCGGGCCCGCGGCGCAGGCTGCGTGCTGGTCTCGCGTTAGATCGTCGCCCGCGGATGTGTGGGGGAGGGTATCGGCACGCCCTTTGCAAGCGCCGCTTACCCCGACCAGCTGCACTCGCTGATTGGCCAGCGCCTCAGCGCGTGGTGTTCTCCTGCCCCCCCCATTCGGCGCAGGGGGCGTTGCGACCTGGTGCGCGGTATCGTGGCGCAAGCTCCGCCTGTGGTGCGCTCGCCGTACCTCAAAGCGCTTTCGGGGGATGGACAACCGTGGGCCGCATGCAGGTGCATGATACGCTGTGGAGCTGCGTTTTCGGGTGCCCTTCGCCCCGATTGCATCGTCCACGATTCAAAGTGACCCCACCTCACGCACCTCATCTGTCGTCCTCGAGCCGTCGCCCTGCCTTGCCTCATTCTCCGCCTCGGACTCTGCCTCCCAGTTCAGCATCCTGCATTCGACCTCACGCGTGAAAATGCGACCGTGGCCACCACATTCAGCTTCTACATCTACAACAGCTGAGGAAGTGGCTGCGAACCAAGATGGACCGTCCCTCACACTCCCGCAGCAGCTTGATGCAGCGAAAGCTGCACAGGCTAAAATGCCCAATCAGTATTCTCTGCGTCCTCCTCCGCCTAACGCTGCTCGGCCCTACAGGTGGCTGAAACCTACAGCCCGGCGTCGAGTATTGTAAGACATCGTACTTGTCCTGGTATTGGCGTTCCTCATCTTGCTCCTCTCCCTCCTCCTCCTCCCCCTCCTCCTCCTCCTCCTCCTCCTCCCCCTACTCCTCCGTAGCCATTTTGGCTCAAGATGTCCCCTTTGCGCAAGCGGGGAATGGATACCGCCAGTCCGCGGCTAGACCATGCTTCTTTCCAGCCACAACCACGGGTGAGCTGGCACCCCTCCATATCTGCCGCGCTTATCTGCATCTTCAGATTCGCGTGTATCCTGGAGCAGCTCCAGGCAGCGGACGGCTCCACTGCATGTCAGGCACTGACTCGGACATCGACAAGTCCAGAGCTTCACGGGGTGGGGGATCGAGGAGAGAACGCCGTCCACGTCAGGACTACGACAGGGACAGAGAACGGCATCGGCGTGACCGCGACCACCCTGAACGTCGGGGTGATCGAGAGCGTCGACGTGATGAGCGACGCGATGATCGACTTCCGTCTCGACCGAGTGGACCAGCTGGCGGGCCTCCCCCTCGACCTGGAGAAGCAACGGCGCCCTTCCCATCGTTCTCGGACTCGCAGTTGGCGGCTATTGCTCGAGATATGGAGTCATTCCCTACCCAGCCAGAGGACCCACTACATCGTGCTGACCCATGGCATGCAGGAGCGGCCACTCCAGTTGCTTCCACTCCCACAGCAGCTGCAGCAGTGGATGCTCGAGCGGCGTCCCCCGCCCCTGGGTCGGTTGACGCGATCCATCAGTCCATATACCAGCAGCTCACTGCACCTGTGCACGCCACCATGGCTGAATTCAAACGCTCGGCGGCTCTCACTGTGGCACAAGCTACTCATGCAGAACAAGCCGCAGTTGCTACGAGGGCCGATGCCACCGAGAGCGAGATTGCACAGCTCAAACACAGTGTTCAAGCATCAGAGACTGTCCAGGCAGAGAACAAGGAGGACATCGCCGCGATCCAGCGGGCGCTTGCTCTTGCTGAGGCGCAGACAGCCGCCCCCGACATCATCTCTGAGGCCGACTTCGACAGGGCCCCTGACCCAGCGGTTTTCTCCATCGGCGTCCCCGACCTGGTGGCACCACAGTTGGTCCACAGATCCCTCGCGGGTTGGTTCAAGGACGCTGGCGTCGACCACGCCTGTGCCGCGCTTCAAGGAGACGCTCCAGCGAAACGATTTACTCCCCGTCTACTGGGTGGCTCTGCGGTGTTTTTTTTGTTCCGAGAGCGGTGGCTCTTTCTCGGGCCCCCAAGCTCTCGGGTGGCAATTGGCGCCAATTCTCCTCTACATCAGTGGCGGGGCAGACGACCCCCTTGCATGCCCCGACAGATCGGGGCCCACGTCAAATCAGGAGAGAGACCCAGACCAGACGCCTCCACCAGCTGCTCATGGAGCCCAGGGATGACTTGGATTTCCGCCCTTTCAAGCAAAAAGGTCGTATATCTGCTGGTGGCGTTCCTTTGGCGCGCCTCGATTTCGGGGCAGCTGCCAACGTCGACGCCAAGACTGTCTGGGATAACGCCCAGGCCACGAAACTACGCACCGACACAGTTCCCATCGAGCGGGCTTTCGCCACCTTCTTCGCCGAGGACAGAGGAGCGTCGCCGGGGTAACATCGCGAGTAACGGCCCCTCGCCGTCCCTGTTCAAACTCATCTCGTGGAATGCAAGGGGCCTCCTCACGATCAACACGCGGAAGCGCAAGCAGAAAATTGAACTGTTGAAACCATATTTGCGAATGAGCAATATCGTTCTACTTCAAGAAGTACATGGGTCTGGCCCGCGGCTTCGCCGAGTAATTGGTGCCCTGCCTTACCAGGACATCGCCCTCTACAGTGGTGGCGGCAGTGCATGTAAAACTTGGAGTTGTCATACTGACCCCGAGGACTGACGCGCACGGCCAGCCAGTCTTAGTCACAGACCTTGCGGAGGATGCAACGGCGCCCTCTTCGACTGACTCTTCGGGCGTGACCAGCTCTTCCCCGGGCACTTCCTCAGCAGAGGCGTCATGTCCCAGCTCTCCCTCTTCACCGCTGGGTTCCTTGTCCTCCTCCAGCTCATCGTCATCTTCACGGTGCAGCCTACCAGAAGTTTCAGAAGGTGTCCCAGCGCGGCGATCCCCTGCTGTCTCCTCGGCGTGGGCACCGACGCCTCCTGGCGATCGCGACCGCGCTGCGGACGCCAACCTGACCGTCGCCCATTCTGTCTTGGCGATCGGCCGCGTCCAAATGGCAGAGTTCTTCCATGGATCGAAATGCATCGCGGTTGTCATGAATGTCTACAACACCTGACCCCTTCCAACGCCCAGCGTGCGAACATTTCCAATCAGTGGAGGCGCTGCGCCTCCTGGGCGTCGGCATCGCCAAGAACTTTACGGCGATGGGCGACTTCTATATGCATGGTGAGCCAGCTCCCCCCTCTGCGACACCTGCCCCCATTCAGTTGACGGTGGGGGGGGATTAGTTTCAGCAATCGTTCTGGCGACGGCTCTTTGGTTTGCTCACTGAAGTTACGACAGGAGAGCCCACGCGTTTTGACCCCCACACCTTGCGACAAACGCGCGTCGACAGAGCCTTCGCGCGTCTGCCGCCACATGCGCATCCCAACCTCTCTTTGAAGTTTGTTGTATTATCGGAGCCGACCTTGCTCAGTGACCGACGACTCAGTGACCATGCTACCTTGGGTTTTACCATCGACCTGGCCAAGCCCAAAGCTACCGAGATTCAGCCGATGCCTGATTTCGCGTTCCAGGCACCGCTCTATCAGCAGTTCTCGAGCACCTCATGTCCTGCTCTCGGATCGAAGAAGCGGCGCCATCTATACTGCGGCGCACCACGAAGACAAACACGGCGCAGGCAGCCAGGCTCACTCATAATCATTTGCTCCAGCTTCCTGGGGGGCGACGTTCCCAGTGTTCTGACGAGGTCGAGCTGTTGGCTATGCGATCGATTTTCCGTGCTGCGCGGCGTCGGGGCTCTGAGCTCGCGGGCGCCCCGACCGCGTTCAACTCAATTTCTGGGGCGAGTTTGCCGAGATGTCTCGCCTCGCGCACCGCCAGCACCTGGCCAAGCTGAAGGAGCGAGCGCTAGCTGCTGCTCGGCGCGCTGCTCTCGCCCATCGATCCCCAGAAGTTGAGCGTCAACAGAAGCAGGCCAGAGTCCTGCGGCGTCGCGCCAGGGCGTGGGCCCGGTTTGCGAGCATCCTCACGCTAGTTGGCATTCGACTTCCTGACTCCGACACCATCGTCAAGACACCGCAGGGCATGCTGGGCGAGCTGCAGAAGCATCGGCTTCCGATCTTCGCCGCCAAACCCGTCGATGAGGTCGGAACGCGCCGCTTTGTCCGACGTCATGCTCCACCACCCTTTGGCCCGCCTGCCCTTGCACTACCTCCCGCTGCGGCCATCGCGCGGGTGGCTCGGCGCGCTCGCGCCTCTGCCCCGGGCCCGGACCGCCTTCCGCGCCGAGCCTGGTCCTCGACGCCGGGTGCACTTGACGCGCTTGAAGACATCGCGTGGCAAGCGACGGAGACCGGCACGGTGCCCTTCTCATTCAATGACTCTCTGTTCTCCTTCATCCCGAAGGGCTCCGAGGAAATGGGCCACTTGCGCAAGGGCGGCCGGCGTCCTTCGCCCGATCTCCAGGAAGAGCACCGACTCCAAGATCTTCGCCGCCGCCCTCAACGAGCAGATGAAGTGCACTGTGGAGCAGCATGCGCAGGTGATCCAGCAGGGGTTCATTCGGGGGCGCAATTTCTGCAACAACATAGTCGTCATGGACACGTTGGGACGCGTGGCGGGGGGGTGGTCTCCCGCAGCCAGCTCCGATTGTCCCGTTCAGGCCCTGTTCGACATCGCGGCGGCTTTTCCGTCGCTCGGCCGCCAGTGGTTCTTTGCTGCACTGGGCAAGATTCGGTACGAGGAAGGCTTTATCAACGGCGCTCGCGCCCTATATGACGGTCGGCAGGCCATGGTCACGCTCGGGGGCGGCTATCGCTTCGTATGTAACATGCGTTCTGGAGTAGCGCAGGGCTGCCCGCTTTCGGGAACCTTTTGGGCCGTTGCCATGGATGTCATTCTCCGTGCGGTCGCTGAGGTCCTCCCGACCGAGCAGCTTGGCACCGCGGCCGCTTGTGCTGATGATCTGGGCGTTTACCTGAATCACCTACGTCTGCTGCCTTTTTTTTCACCAGATATTTCATCTTGCGGACGTGTACGGCCACCTCTCCATCAATGCCGCAAAGTGTGTCATCATCCCGCTGTGGGCCGAATTAGATGATCCGGTTCGCACCGAGCTACGTCTCTTCCTCCCACGGGAAATACCCTCATGGCTGAGCTTCCACATTGCTGATGTCGGCGTGTACCTTGGTGCGCACCTTGGACCGGGGGCCGCCAATGCAATGCAGTGGATGAAGGCGGCGCCGAAGTGGTGGGATCGTATTTTTGCCGTATCTTTGACTGGATCCCCGACGGACGCGCTGACGCGTCTGTATCAGTCCTCCTGCATCACGGTCTTGAGCTACCTCACGCAGTTCTTCTGGCTTCCCACCGCAGTGCTGAGACGGGAGATTCATGGGCTACATCACGTACTCCGTATGCCCCCGATCACTTTCAGGCTTCAGGACATCTTCGCGTTGGCGTCGTGAATGACCCCCCCCCCTCGCCGACCTCCTTGAAGCTGCGCCGTTGCCACGATGTGGCGCATGGCTAACTTCACGGTCGAGGGATGGCAACGCTATCTGGAATTGCTGGACGCAGTCGCTGTGGAGCACTGCCCTCTTCCTGCATTCTCGCCCGGGCAATGGTCGCCTTTCTTCTGGAAGGAGCCGCTGGCCATCGTTCAGCGGCATGCCTCCCTGAACATAGGCACTACACCGATTCTGCCCCTCAGCTTCAGGGTTTTGGCATCGAAGGCTGCGGCGACCGCGCGCAGGGATGCTGACCACTCTCGTCAGAGTGGTCGACGGCCACATCCCCAACGGAGCTTTCTGCGTCAGGCTACTTGCCTGCGCTTCCCCGACAAGTTCCACCAGACCATCCACAAGCGCCTCGTGAAGTGGTACGGCGAGTGTGTCACGCCGCGCTGCCTGCGTTTCCGATGGCTGCGTCTGCGAACCTCCCTGATACGTGTATCCCCATCTTGGCGATGGATTGTGGTTCGCTCCCTGGCTGGAGGATGGCACGCCCCCTCGCGTACGCACGTCCACCCAGAACGTGCCAGGTGCGTCTTTGGCTGCGACGCCGACGATGCGATCCAACGCTATTTACTTTGTGCACGGTTTCAACATCACGTGTGCCTTCCGCGCACGTTTGCGCACGGCACTGCCCTGGAGAGGCCTGGGCTAGGAGACGAGAGCGCGTGCGCGACGGAGGACACGAATGAGAGATCACTGTGGTCCACAGTTCGCCGACTGTGTTTGTCCTACTATATGTTCCTGGAGATGAAGCACCCCCCTGGTGGTGGGTGCGGAAACTACTCTGCCCACGCTCTTGCTCGGCGCGCTGCTCTTGACCGTCTCGATCTGGGAGGTAACGTGCCTGATGCCGCCAGAGCTACGACAGCTGCTGCCCGCCCTGGCCACCAAGCTGCACACCGTGGACTGGATGCCTCCACGACTGCAGCTCCCAACCCAGCCGTCCCTGACGGCCACGACTACAATGGCCTCATCGTTTCTGCCGTCGCGCACGGCCACGACTACACCGCCGACCCTGCCGTCCTCGACGGCCACAACGACAACATTGACGATGTTGCCGTCGCGATCGGCCACGACAGCATCAACTACACGGAGGCCGACCCCGCCGAGCCCCACGACGTGGACCTCGGCCCCCTCGCGTCCTCTCTCTGAAGACCTCGGCCCTCCGCCCCCCCCCCCCCCGCCGCGGGCGCCGCCGCCGATGAGACTCCGCCCCCTGAGTCCGCTGCTGTTTCTCCTCCTCCTCCTCCTCCTCCTCCTCCTCCTCCATTACCTGTCCTTGTGAATAACTCCTCCCTGTGGCACCCCGAGGCCAGTCGGAAGGGCGGGCCGGGCGTTTCGCCTGAGACTTCCTCAACAAATACGATATTGAAGCTTGGAATGCGCAAGAGGTTCACAGATGGAGGGCGGGTGGTTTCAAAATGTGTTTATCGCTTTAGCGTTGCACACATCCGTTTGAAGAAACGTCAGCTGATTTGCGGATTGAGGGCGGGTGGTGTTCAAAATGTGTTTCTCGCCTTAGCGCCGCGCACATTCGATTTTAAGTATAAGTTTCAATACTTTCACGGATTGAGGGCAGTTCTGTTTCGAAAGTTGGTTCTCGCTTCAGTGCCGCGCACATCCGCTTGTAAAAAAATATCCCGGCAAAGCAACCTAACAGCGATGTGTAGGAGCATATTTTTGAAGCATTCCCCTTAATATTCAGATGAGAATCCAGTTGTAGAGTTCTGCTGTTCTCGCAGTCGTAGTCGCATTCGCGATGACAGTCGCAGTGGCAACGGCAGTCGCAGTCACAGCCTCAGCCTCAGCCTGCCTCAGCCTCAGCCTCAGCCTGCCTCAGCCTCAGCCTGCCTCAGCCTCAGCCTCAGCCTGCTTCAGCCTCAGCATCAGTCTGCCTTCAGCCTCGGCCTCAGCCTCAGCCTGCCTCAGCCTCAGCCTGCATCAGCCTCAGCCTCAGCCTCAGCCTGCCTCAGCCTGCCTCAGCCTCAGCCTCAGCCTCAGCCTCAGCCTCAGCCTGCTTCAGCCTCAGCCTCAGTCTGCCTTCAGCCTCGGCCTCAGCCTCAGCCTGCCTCAGCCTGCAGCCTCAGCCTCCTCAGCCTCAGCCTCAGCCTCAGCCTCAGCCTCAGCCTCAGCCTCAGCCAGCCTGCCTCAGCCTCAGCCTCAGCCTGCCTCAGCCTCAGCCTCAGCCTGCTTCAGCCTCAGCCTCAGTCTGCCTTCAGCCTCGGCCTCAGCCTCAGCCTGCCTCAGCCTCAGCCTGCCTCAGCCTCAGCCTCCCTCAGCCTGCCTCAGCCTCAGCCTCAGCCTGCCAGCCTCAGCCTCAAGCCTCAGCCTCAGCCTGCCTCAGCCTCAGCCTCAGCCTCAGCCTCAGCCTGCAGCCTCAGCCTCAGCCTCAGCCTCAGCCTGCCTCAGCCTCAGCCTCAGCCTGCTTCAGCCTCAGCCTCAGTCTGCCTTCAGCCTCGGCCTCAGCCTCAGCCTGCCTCAGCCTCAGCCTGCAGCCTCAGCCTCAGCCTCAGCCTCAGCCTCAGCCTGCCTCAGCATCAGCCTGCAGCCTCAGCCTCAGCCTCAGCCTCAGCCAGCCTCAGCCTCAGCCTGCAGCCAGCCTGCAGCCTCAGCCTCAGCCTGCCTCAGCCTCAGCCTCAGCCTGCCAGCCTCAGCCTCAGTCTGCCTTCAGCCTCAGCCTGCCTCAGCCTCAGCCTGCCTCAGCCTCAGCCTCAGCCTGCCTCAGCATTCAAAATGTGGCCCGGGAATGGAGTTCTGGGAACTCGAAGAACACGAAGTGGCCTACAGTTGGCTCCGGGCATTCAAAATCATGCCCAGGAATGGAGTTCTGGGAACTCGAAGACCACGAAGTGGCCTACAGTTGGCTCCGGGCATTCAAAATGTGGCCCGGGAATGGAGTTCTGGGAACTCGAAGAGACGAAGTGGCCTACAGTTGGCTCCGGGCATTCAAAATGTGGCCCGGGAATAGAGTTCTGGGAAGTCGAAGAGCACGAAGTGGCCTACAGTTGGCTCCGGGCATCCAAAATGTGGCCCAGGAATGGAGTTCTGGGAAGTCGAAGAGCACGAAGTGGCCTACAGTTGGCTCCGGGCATTCAAAATGTGGCCCGGGAATGGAGTTCTGGGAGGTCGAAGAGCACGAAGTGTGTGACTGTTTGCTTAAAACGAGCCCGGCTCTCGCCTGTCCGGGTCCCGCCCAGACCCCCCTGGGGAGTCATCAGATGCTCTCTTTTGACCCCATTAGAAACCTATCAGTCTTCGCTGTTAGGTAAACACAGGAGCTTCATTGATGGAGGGCGACTAGTTTTCAAACTGTTGTTCTTGTCATAGCGCCGCGAACGTTCGCCTTCACTGTTTACAGCAGTTTCGAGGGTTATCATGGCTAACGTCCCAGAATTAATGTTATGGTCGGATGCAGGGCGCAACATATAAGTTGATTCGCGGTGTTGACGTCCTGGGAACGATGGTCTGGAACGGTTCAAGATCGTGGAGACGCAACAATAACGGTGATTCGCGGCGTTGAAATCCAAGGGCTGGTGTTCTGGTACAGTTCAGGATGTCCGAACGGTTGTTTTCCAACGGGGCACTTCCTTCAGTGAAAATAAGGCTTTGTAGGAGCCTACGTAAATGGACCTTGGAGGGAGGGTGTATTGCAACATGTTTAATGGGTCTTGGGTTTACACCAGTCCTCGTCCTCCTCCTGTTCCTCCTCTTTGTTCTCCTCCTCCTTCTCCTCCTCCTCTTCCCTCCTCTTCCTCCTCCTCCTCCTCCTCCTCCTCCTCCTCCTCCTCCATGGGCTCGTCGCCCCCCCAATCAGGCCGGGCCGCCGCCGCCGCCGCGCCGGCGGCGGCGGCGATGAAGGCGGGCCTCGGCCTCGCAGGCCGCGCGGCCTCCCTGGCGCCGCTCACCGACGGCGACGGCGCCAGCGGCGCGGCCTGCCCCAACGACGACGAGGGGGCGAAGGGGGAAGGGGAGGAGGAGGAGGAGGAGGAGGAGGAGGGGGAGGAGGAAGAGAAGGAGGAAGAGGAGGAGGAGGGGGAGGAGGAGGGAGGAAGGAGGAGGGAGGAGGAGGAGGAGGAGGAGTAGAAGGAGGAGGAGGAGGGAGGGAGGAGGAATGAGGAGGATAAGTAGAGGAGGAGAAAAGGAAGGGAGAGAGGAGGAGGAGGAGGAGGAGGAAGAGGAAGAGGAGGGAGGGAGGGAGGGAGGGAGGGAGGAGGAGGAGGGAGGAGGAGGGAGAGGAGGCACTGGAGGAGGAGGGAGGAGGAGGGAGGAGGCACTCCGTCCGTGCGAAGTTTGGTTGGGAGCTGGCGCAGACCTTCAGGTGCACCGCTGCTGGGACCAGGCGCAAGCAGCGGTCGCCCCCTGGGGGGGCTGGGTTGCGCCAGCCGGGGCCTCTGGTAGCCCTACCCGGGAACTCCAGGGAGTGTGCGAGGCGGGCACGCTGCCAGCGTCCGTCGCCTGGCCTGGCCAGCCCGGGCACCAAGCAGCGGCGCCAAGCTGGCTTCGTCCCCGCCGGGCCAGCAGCGGCGCCCAGCCTGCCGGTGGAGGGCATACAGCGGGGACGGTGGTCGGGGAGGCCAGAGCTCCGACGTCGTGTTTTTTTGTCCGCAGCGTGGGCCCACAGGAGGCGCCCGACCCCTCTCCCCCCAGGACTGGCGTCTTTGTTTCGTCTGGCGGCCCCAGGGTCCAGCAAGGACCCCTGGAGGCCAGAAGCGGCCGAAAACCTCATGTCGTGATGTGTTCACATCGCAAAAGGGTGGTTTCAGGGCGCTGTGACCGGGTCGTTCTCCGAGGATGTCTCTGGCGATTGGGGCCTCCAGGTTCCCCAAACCCGTGCGGTGACGGACCATACGGTGAGGTTTTTTGGAATGGTCAGGTCGCCGCACGGTTTGTCACCGCAACGTGTTGGGGACCCCGCTGGACACCCCTCCATGGCGCCAGGTGGGCCTAACGCAGATCCAAGAAACCCGCGCGGAGCTCCGAACGTAAACGTGTATGCAGTTCTTTCGTCGTCAATGGTTGGGGAGGCCAGGTAGAGGCTCCCGCTCTCACGGCAGCCCTTCTCCTCCTCCTCGTCCTCTTCCTCCTCGTCCTTCTCTTCCTCCGCCGTCTCCTCCCTTTCATCATAATCTAACTCCTCATTCCTCCTCCTCCGCCTCCTTCTCCTTCTTGTCGTCGTCCTCCTCCAACCTCCTCCTCCTCCTCCTCCTCCTTCTCCTCCTCCTCCCTCCTCCTCGTCCCCCTCCTTCTCCTCTTCCTCCTCCTCCTCCTCCTCCTCCTGCTCGTCCTTCGGTTTGGGAGGCCGAGGGGCAGGCCCCCGCACATTCTGCGCCCCTCGGACACCGGCGCCCCCCAGGCCGGGTGTTGCAGCAGCTGCACAGTAAGCCGGCGGCGAAGCAGCGCGCGGCGAGCGCGAGCCCGGCCCACGGGGGTTGGGGCTTCCTCGTTCGTTGTATGTTGCTCCTCTCTGGTCCTCCTCGCCGTTCCTCCTCCTCCGCCTCCGCCTCCGCCTTCGCCTCCACATCCACCTCCGCCTCCTCCTCCTCCTCCTCCTCCTCGCGCCTTCTCCTCCTCCTCCTCCTCCTCCACCTCCTCCTCCGCCTGCTCCTCCGCCTCCGCCTCCGCCTCCGCCTCTGCCTCGCTCCTCCCCCTCCTCGCGCCTCCGCCTCCTCGTCCTCCTCCTCCTCTTCCTCCTCCTCCTCGCTCCTCGCTCATCGCTGCTTGCTCGTCCTCTTCCTCGTCCTCCTCCTTCTCCTCCTCCTCCGCCTCCTCCTTCTCCTCTTCCTTCTCCTCTCATCCTCCTCCTTCTCCTCCGCCTCCGCCTCCGCCTCCACCTCCGTTTCCGTCTCCGCCTCCGCCTCCGCCTCCTCGCTCCTCCATCTCTCCTCCTCCTCCTCCTCCTCCTTCTCCTCCTCCTCCTCCTCGTCCTCCTGCTCGTCCGCCTCCGCCTCCGCCTCAGTCTCCGCCTCTGCCTCTGCCTCTGCCTCGCTCCTCCTCCTCGCGCCTCCTCCTCCTGCTCCTCCGCCTCCTCCTCCTCCTTCTCCTTCTTCTTCTCCTCCTCCTCGTTCTCATCCTCCGCCTCCTTCTTCTCGCTCCTCGCTCCTCGATGCTCGCTCGTCCTCTCCCCCCTCC